CACAACGATGCTGGCGAAACGTTAGGAAACAAAACTTCCAGAACACGGCCACACAGCCTGGAAGACCCACACCAGCCATCGTATGCCGGCCGTGAAAGCCTTCGACAATACTTTGCCTTAAGTGTTTAGTGTGAACATGGCTTAAAAGGGTTGAAGTATGGGTCATGATCAGGTTTCAGAAAATCACTGTCTTGTCTGGCTAGATGGATGGGAGACCACCAGGACAAAACCTGGAAGAAAGCAATGGCAAATTGCCATAATACTGCCAAAAAAAAAAAATGAATTTAGTTGCTTGGAACACAACTTCCGAGCATCTTCCCCTTAACATTTTAGGAATAATTTTCAGAAAGTCTTGCACTATTGGGCTCAGCCAAGGAACGTGCAAATTGGAGAGCTGCACATCTCTAGCTACATGCCCACCTAATAATGGTCTTGCATCAGTTAACCCTCCAATATTTTTTCTTCTCTTAGAAAATGGGGTAGGAAAGACAGAAATGTGATCAATGGCCTTTGGATGTTTGCCCTGGGAGCAATCTTATCTGGAAGCCCCCTCCCCAAATTGGCAACCCCAGAGGCTAGGAATGCCCAAAGGGGACTGGAGTGGAAAAACAGGGTGCTTAGAGAAAGGGATAGGCAGTGGGTCAAAAAGCTGCAAGTTGGTGGGCATCGCGTTGCCAGTTGCAGCTTTTGACCTTGCTGCAGATGCCCTGGCAACCAGCATCTCTGTTGCTTATGCCCCTTTGGAGGTTTTTTTGGTACCCGTCTCATGTTACAGGGTGCTCTGTGTTCCCTTTTCTTTGCTATATGTGGCTTTCTTTTAAATTCTTTTTAAATTGTCAGTCGCCCAGAGTCATTGTGGAACTGAGTGCCTCAACCTTGAAATATTAAATGACAGCTACCACCACTACACACACACAGACACAGCATCTGTTTTGTTTTTTCCCTTCATCCTCATGACCAGTCTTTGCTTTTATTTAAAACATAATCCTAAGAAACTTTCTCCCATCTGTTCTGCTTGGGGAGAACAAGGTGAGTGTTTAAACCAGTGTTTTTCAAACTTGGCCCCTTTTAAGATGCATGGACTTCAACTCCCAGAATTCCCCAGCCAGCACGAGATGGA